GGGGGAGGGGGGGGGGGGGGGGGGGGGGGGGCAGCTGCCCCCCTGCCCCCCCGGAGGTTACGGCCCTGACAGATTTGGCGCACGCTTAAGTTACCTAACATCCTAGTCCGACATCAGCCCCACAACCTTGGGAAATTAAGTTGTACATTTTCAGCGTTGTCTAATTTTTAGACTACCAGTTCTTCAAAGCGTCTCAGACGTCTAGACTTGCAGAAGGCCATGAGGTTGCAAAATACTTAGTCAATTTTCATTATAAAATGCGTTATGGTTGCAATTTCTAGGTTGCAAAAGGACAATCCACTTTGATACTGGTTTGGGATCGCATTGGTTATTACAGACCTGGTCATCTTTTTCTGGTGAATGGATGCATTAGCCTCGAGGCCTACGGTGAAATATGGGACAAACGCCTGTTCTTTGTAAAAACCACTCCGTTAATCTCCAAAGATGATAGCGCAAGACCACAGAGCACGAACCACCCAAAAGAATTCCACCGGAAGGGCTGGCCAGTCACCAGATTTACATCCCATAGCAAAATCTTTGGGATTACATTTTCAAACAAATTTTCAAAGATGATAATTACAAATCGTTCTAATTCAAATAGTCTAAGGGGGAAATCATTATTTACTAGTCTGCAACTCATTCCCAGTTAAGTCTATTTTATTATGTGCATACATGGAAACGGCTTTGCCTTCTCTAAATATCTTGTCCGTTGTCTCTTCAGATAACAGACTTTGCGTAAGTTTTTCTTAGGCATCTAGCGACTCAGTATTCTATCACTTTAATCAGACTTTTAAAACGGTTTGTGGTGAAAATTTGCTACGTTCATCCAGGAGCACCTGAGTAATATTACTGGGGACGATTGATTTAACTCCCCACCATTGAAGGGTCTACCCTGCGATTGCTATTAAGTGCAGAGTAACAGTTTTAACAGTTTTAAAAAAACTATTATTCGGAACACAGCTTCCCAACCGCTGCAAATAAGATCAACAAATTGATTTTATTATTGACAAAGTTATGAAGAACAATCCTGTGCCATAGATTTTGATAACACATTTTAATCCGATGATATGTTGTCTTCTTAACAAAAGTCCAGTGAAAGTTGGTGTACTTTAAAACTATAAGTGATGAAAACCTAACAGAGATTTGTTGAAAATCGGATGGTGCAGCACAGCTCTTTTTTTCATATGATGTATGAGTCCAGGTATTAGAGAACATCAAGAAACCGGAAATAGGACTTTCCCTCAAACCGCAGATATGTCGTCATCACCAAAATGACCATACATTAGCTGGAGACAAACGGTGTCCATGAACAATTTATGATAATATAATAACAACCAGTCTTATGAAAAGGTGTTTAAAGCCTGATTTTGGTAATAGGGCATATAAAATTTAAATGTCACCAAGGAAAGTTTTATCTTGCAGTGACGTTGTGTTGCAAATAGCCTACATGTAGGAAAACAGATATTGTATTAGAAATTCATTTTTTTCTGTTTGTAGCCGTTACCATAAAAAGCTATGTGGCTTGTGTGGGAACTATGATGGAAAGTCAGGGAATGACTTCCAAGTGCACGGCGATCTTCTGGATAACACATATCGGCAAGGGGCATCTAATGAAATGGCTAAAGGCAATGTAGTGCAAGACCATCATTCTACCGAACCGTAAGTACACAGCGAGCGAGAGAGCGTTTTATCATATTGTGAACTTGTGTGCGTGTTGGTAGGGGGTATGGTGCCTCTGTATGTATAGGTCCCTGTTTGATTTAACGGCACATCTGACAAGTTTGATTTTGTATCAAAATCAAAGTTTTTTAGTCAGTTACAGTGAATTTTGTAATTTATTAGCGTTTTTTACTCGAATACATCATGTTTATAAACAAATAAAAAGCAGTTAGCCAATCATCCATTCAACTGTGCATGGCACATGGTGTTATTGTCATTACAAGTTTGCAGGCATCACACCAAATTGCTGTTAAGTATCGAAATGAAAAACGTATTTTTATTTTCTTGTAGACATTCTGTTTAATGTTCTGGGCACTATTGGTTATCGTTTTCTTCTACAGGTGTGAGCCCGTAGTCAACATGCCGCATCCAAATCAGGTGTTGGAGAGGATGATGGATACGGAAAAGGTTAAGGCTTTATATGGAGACTGCAGTGATGAAGATCATAAAGAGGAGGGAATTTCCAGGTGCGATGTGTCTGATCCAAACCACCCGACCAAAGGCTCCTTCACGTCCTGCATAAAAAGTCTGGAGAACAGCTATTTCCTTGAGCCTATCCTCGAGGGTTTTATTAGTGGTTGTACTGCAGCTTACTGTTTTGGCAAGAGCGAGAGGGCGGAAAATCGCAATGCTTGCTACTACATGAAAGCACTTTCTGATGCCTGCGATGAACATGGTCAGAAAGTGTCTGGCTGGTGCAAGGCCATGGAGTGTCCTGCAAGAGGAGGTTGCGAGAAATGGGAACCCAAGTATTTGTAGGAGGAGATATAAAACTGGATTTTGTGATTTACGTAAATTCATGCTCAGAAACAATTCTTTGTAGAATTTAGTTTTGGCCTCCTTTCTTGTTATTGACTATTACATACGTTTTTAGGTAGAGGGTTTAAAACTGCTGATGCCGTTATACGGTACTTCTGCCCCTTGACTGTCATGGACGCAGTGAAAGTCTTTATAATCAGAACCAGGAAAGATATTTCAGTAAGACAACATAAAAAGCAAACCCTTCATTAGCGCAACAAAATATGCATGTACTGTGTCGGGGTTATAGGTTTATTGCATGTGCATACCTGCTAATCACCTACAATAGTTTTTTGCTTAGTGGAATAAAAGGGTTCGTGTTTTTTCTTGAAATTAAATGTAATTTCCTTGGCTTTTTTCAAATTTGTGTATTAAGAAAAGTGTCTGCGCTTTAGTCCATCAATAGTTTGTCAATTATCTTGTCACTTCCTTTTTCACATTGTTTTCCTTTTAAATTGCAATCTATGCGGGAATAAATCACTGACAATAGATATGTTACAGTCTCAAAATCCTTAAAATATCTACTGTTCCATGACATACTGGCGCAATACTAACTGATAGCCCTTTTTTCCCGATGCTAAGTTTAACTAATTAAAATGATAATTTTAATAATAAAACTATTTAAAAAGAGAGAGAGTATAAGCTTAAAATCACGTCATTAATATTTCCCTTTAAGTATGCTCTCTGAGAGGCCCCAGAAAAGAAGTAGCAGGGACATCATTAACAAAGGTCCAGTTTTGACGTTTGTTCTTTGTAATCAAAATGCACATGTTATCCAATAAAATGAAATGGGGATGACAAAAAAACGTACCCAGTTCGAAAAGTGGTTTGCATCGTATCGTTGATAGAGGGGTCCTGTTACTTTGCACTTGGTTACATTGTAATGGGTCCACAATTTATAACATATCTAATCTAAGAGGCAACAGATTGATATATTCTATTAATGCTTAATTGAATGCTTGCGAACCGCCTATCTGTAGTTTCAACGGAGAGTAGAACATTACTTACACTCATGAACGGTCAATAGTTATGATAATCTCTTAAATATTAATTTACGTTGGCGCTTTCAACATGTTATTACTTGCACTGAGATGGAGTCATATTAAGGAACTGTTCAATCATCCAGTATATTGTATGTTCCTTTATGGATTCACCCGTATGTTATGGTGTTAGTAACCCACCCCTACTGAAACATTCAGCAGAAGTTTACGTACGTACCCTTAGCAATGTTACATAAAAGAAGAGGAATTTGTTAAGAAACGCCACTTTCTGACAGTTCAATAACTAAACGGACAGGTGAGGCGGCTGTTAGGTATGTTTCAGTTTTGTAATGTAGAATTCAAACTATTTTTAAGATAAATAGCATGATTTACTGAAACTTAGAATTTGAATTGGATTCAATTTGAAGAACATTTTAAACCTTTCATTTCCACCCACTAGCAAAGATGGTTTGCAACGGTAGATGTACTGACATACAGTTTTCTCGTCGTTTCAGTGACAACCGATGAAGATGAAAAACGCTCCTTCAACGATTTTGTTGTTGATCGGTCTATTCACTGCTAAATCAGGTACATATATCTTGTGAAGAAATTCAAAATAAACTATTTCTAACATATATTCGGCAACAAAGGTGATGAAAACCAAAGGAGTTTTGGTATGAAACTTATAAAGAAAATAAAGTAGTTTCATTATGAAATAAATCGAGGAAAATTATTCCCAATGCTAAACACTAGAACGGCATATTTTAGAATCAAGCGTCAAATACTTTGGTAGACATTGACACAGCCACAGTTTTCTCGATGGTGACATTTGCAGAGCGAATTGAACGAATTTACTGCAACAATTAAACGAAAATAGCAGAAAATGTAAACATCTTGTGAAAATAATAGATCTACAGACATTAAACTCTACCGCTATACGTTGGCACTTCGCTGGTTTATGTATGTTTTTAAAAGTATGTGGCTAATTTATTTAGCTGACGATGAACGAAACATTTATAAACATTATAAACATTATTTGAATTTTTTTCTAATTGGCTTAAGTCGTTTAGGGCTTTTTTGGTCGTTTTTTATTTTGTTTATTTTATTTGTTTTATTTATTTTTGCTTGAAACGCACTTGCCTTCTCTAAAAGCTGCCGCATTTTTTTCAGAATACATGTCATACTATTTAATTCTGTTTTGCCGAGGGATTCGAAAATTGACAAACGTTTCAAATGGTATATGTCATGCATAGAAATAAAAGAATGGGGTATGTGAGGGTTTTGCCACATTCGTTTTGAACATTTTACACTGATTTTCATTATACATAGTTTTAAAGAAATCAGAAAAATAAAAAATGAAGTTGAATATATATTCATGAATTCTACTTTTTTCTAAATCTAGTTTTTTGTGTAATCGTGCAAACGTTTTTCCGATTCATGTCTTGCTAGTATGCGCAGTTTTCGTATTCATTAACGAAGGTTTGAGTTTAAAAAAATACCAACCCTATTTGATAATTTTTGAACGTTTTTAATGCAAACATGAAGCAGATTGCGCTTAAGGGGTATTTAAAATGCACGTTAATTTGACTGATACATTTTGTCCTCAACTTCAAGTATATTTCCACAATGCCTGTTTAGAAAGGTTTAGCAAATTACTTTCTATACTTTATAGAGAATACAGTTTTGCTTCGTGTAAAACATTTTCTATTCCCTGTCACCATATCGTCTAACTAGTCATGCATGTAACTAAAAAAGGTTTAGGTTTATGCACCTGGTTTATTAATCACAGGACGATTTTACGACAGTCGTTTGCTTTGCTTACCAATCAAAGTGACAGCCAAGAGTGGTTAGGACAGATATGCTATACAGTTATACACAGATTTTGAGGGAAATGCCACTTTTTGTCGGTAATTACAGGCCATGAAACCTGCAAGGTTCCGATCGGCCCTTAGTTTTTACATACTAGTATCCTTAGAATGAGGACCAAACGCTAGTATGGAACCGTGCAGTGCATGTTTTTTTGCAAAACGTTCGAAGAAGAGTCAATGTTGGACTTATATGACTTGATTGGTTACCTGCATGTAAAAACAGTATGTGAAAACAACATCGCGGATTGGGATCTAAAGATAAGCCAATCTACAAAATCAGCCGACTTCCAAATATAGTGAGACCTAACTGAAAAACTATTGACTTTCCAGCCATGTTGAAAGTTCATTTTTTCATCTAAGACAAAAAGTCGCATTTTTATTATTCCTTTCTTCCAGATGCGAGTTTTCCCTCATCCTGCACTTGTTTTGCCCATGGCTACAGGGAGGAGATAGTATTTGAATCCTGCGACGGAGCATATATTACGTTTGGAGGTACGGTTAAATGCATCCTAACAAGGCACATGTAATATCATTTTAAAATATCCAAAAGGGGAGTTTGCAGTTGTCAATTTGATTTCTCGTCACTGCAACTTTTTATTTTAGTTTTGCATTGTTTTGCAGTGTTTTGGAGTGTTTTGCATTGCCTTTCTTCAATGGCGAATACCTTTAAATATTGCAGGATCGTGCTCGTATGATCTTATGAGAACATGCACGCCGGATGGTCTGGACAATAAGCCACCTTTCAGCGTTGTTGTCAAAGCAGGTTACACCACTGAATTCGACAATAAACAGACATTTGTCTCGCGAGTAACCATCAATTTCGAAAACGAAAACGTTGTAATGGATACGAGGGGTGGTTTTATGGTAAGGAAAAGGGATGATACTGGCAAACTAAACAGTAAACAGAAAAGAATATATCGTATTTATTGTTATACAAAATCTTTCAATCATCACATCTTATTCTAAATAAATAATTAAATAAATAAATAAACATTAATTAATCCAGTAATGTTGATTTACATTCAATATAAGCCATATTTGTGTTTGTCCTTTATATTTTATACTTTATACTTCCGCTTGGGTTAATGGGGAGAAATAAATAAACATTAGTTAAATCCAGTAATGTTGAGTACATTCAATGTCATTTCAGGTGAATGGAATGATAGAGACTACGGACTATTTTGGAGATAACTTCAACGTTACTCGGGTGGACCGTCCTGAATATTCTTTGATAAAGTTTCAAACACACTTCTCACTCAGGGTTCTTATTCACATCGGTGCACGCTCACATAAAATTCGGGTCAGAATCGGACGGTAAGACATTTCTTTCACAAAATTGGGAAACCATACGTAGTGTGCAAACAACATTATGCAGCTGAGTAGAATATTTCAGTGCATTAAAAATTGGCCGTGATAAATACGCGAATGAGGTTACAGTATCATTTACACCAGTTGTTCGATTATTCATGTACCATTCATATGCTGTGTAATATAATTGAATTGTGTCTACTGTGTCTAAAAACATATATTTGATAAAGACAGCGAGATAGCTAAATAGAACGCCCCATTGTAATGCAAAGTGAAAATTAGATAACTAACAAAGCATCCACCTTTCTAGGCATTACCAAAGATCACTGTGTGGTCTGTGCGGGAACTTTAACGATGAAACGGCTGATGACTATCAAACTGCGGACGGTGAAAATGTGACTGACCTTGCCTACCTAGACCGACAGGCTGCGTCTGAAGAAATTGCTAAGAGTATGCTGGTACAAGAACACGAACAAGAGCTGTAAATATTTTTCATATTATATAGGCCCCTTATCTGCACAGAAAGCACATCGACTTATTCAAGTCAAATTTGTTAAAAAAGCAAAATAAATACGACTCATTACCTCCGACCGAGGTCTAAAGATTTTGCCTTAAATTTCACAAATCTCAGAAAACCCAACTTGGTATTTAGTTCTAAAGAGGGTTTATTCAAATATTTTAATAATTAAAAAATATAAAGATAAATGCTTTCTTTATTGCATCAATATTCCCCCACGCTTGAAAGACACCCAATTAACTTGTTGCTACATCTAAATATAGAAAATCAACTACCAACATTCCATGAAACGTGTTTTTGTTGTTGCATTGAATTCTAAATTAGAACATTACTTATTTTTTCAAAGGTGTGAACCTATTGTCAACAGGCCGAGTCCACATCAGATGCTAGAAGCGATGATCGATAGAGAAAAGGTTTTTGACATTTATGGTAGCTGTGCAAAAGAAGAAGATGAAATAGAGGGGAATGCCCAGTGTAATGTTACTCTTGAAAACCACCCGACGAAAGGATCCTTCGCGAACTGTTCGAAGGATTTAGATGACGACAATAAGCTCAAGTTCGTTGAAGCTTGTTCCGCAGCTTACTGTGCTGGCAAGTCTCACAGGGCAAAAGAACGCAACGTCTGTTACTTTATTGAAGCACTTTCCCGTGTCTGCCGAGAAAACCTGAAGCCGGTGCATAACTGGTGCATGCCCATGAAATGCCCCGCACAAAAAGGTTGCAGTAAATGGGAACAAAAGTATGACTGACAGCTGATGGACAACACCTAATGAAATGGGCACTTTACATGTATCCGAATGTCCATATTGCCGCTTCCCTTCCTAATCTTATATTTTCCAGTGCTCTACTCTTATTATTAGAATTTGTTTCGAAGGAACATGGGTTAAACTTATTTGCTCTAAATCACAGGTAAAATCAACTCTACGACTGCTTTTGAGCCAGTTTCAAACGGGGAGTACATAACGTGATTTGTTATCTACTGTTTTGGATGTGTCTTATTTCCTCTGCTTTTTATTGGTATCGATTCGCGACTTCTGCTTGAAATCAAACATTGAAATTATCACAAACTATTACTTTATTCAGTCACTTCTTACACATGGTGTATTATTGGTCGCATATTTATCACGTTCACAATGTTAATTCTTGAAGGGCATAGCTTCTATTTGGTTTAGAGGGTCAAAATATGCTCATATCAATCATAGTGGACAAAAATCATGCAAACTGTTTGTTTATTTACTTCTACGGGTTTTATGCACAGAGCTTCTTTGGTCAATAAATCATACCCTGGTAGAAAAGCAGTGTCTTTAATTTACAGCTTTACGGCAAATCTAGGCAAAAATGATAATGTAGTAATAACATCTCTTCTGTAGGTTGTTACTTCCCTAATCAAAAAAAAAAAAAAAAAAAAAAAACCTTA